CTGCTGCAGCTTCTTCAGGTTTCGGTCTAACCGCTCGTGGTCCTTCTTGGAGCAGGCCAGGCCTGCAGAGTGCTCTTCTTCGGGAGGAACAGGGACAGGGACAGGAGGAACAGGAGGAGCAGGTGGAGCAGGAGGAGAAAGAAGAGGGAGGAGGAGGAGGAGGAGGAGGAGGAGGAGGAGGAGGGAGGAGGGAGGGAGGAGGGAGGAGGGAGGAGGGAGGATGGAGGAGGGCGGAAGAGTGCGGAGAAGGGATGAGGGCGGAGGATAAGGAGGATTATGTCACACTAAAGGCGAGCGAAACGCGCAATCGAGACAGCACAGCACGCGGAACCATTGAGCATGAGGCCAAGCAAGAGCTACAGCAGCATGCATGCCACTCCCATGCGTCACTGCGAAGCCTGTGGAACCTGTACACCAAGTCAAGAAAAAAACTACATTGCAAAACGAAAAGATTGTATGGTTGAGGAAGAACACAAGGGGTGGACCAGATCAGGGGGGGGAGACATCGAGCTGAAATCGGAAAAGATCTGCGATGGGCCCCCGATAGCGAATCCACACGGACCTGGGCGGGGTGGGCTACGCCCCAAACGGCGATGAATGGGCGAATGGGTGCCGATGCACCCCCCTGAGCCCTATCCCCCCCTCAGGTTGCACGTGAATGGTGTGACTCGCCCAGCCTCCGCTGGGCGCTGGGGCAGAGCCAGCGGGCGAAGAACGGCATAAGATAAACTCCTCCATGATCAGGGACGCCTGTCCCAGGGCGGCTGGAAAGCTTGTGCCGCCACCTGGCGAGACTTGACTTGATACCGCTCCTTGCTCGCCAAAAGGGGGCTGGCGGCTGTGCCACGGGTGATCCTGGTAATTATGGGGTCATGTTGTTCCCATCGTACTTAAGGACGGCATCCCAGACCAAATCTCGAGCACCCAGAGAAGTATCAAAACAGTGTCAAGCGAGCATCGCCTCCCAGGGGCCGACACGTGAAAGCCCTCCAACTTCGGCGCTTTCCTGGTGCTCGACATTCTTCCTGGTGAATCCAGGCTACAGTAGGCTGGAACATCATACCATAGGGTGCTCCCCAAAGAAGAAGAAGAAGAAGAAGAAGACGAAAAAGAAGGAGAAGAGGACCTGTTTCCAACTTCGGCACTTTCCTGGTGCTCGCAGTTCTTCCTGGTGAACCGAGGCTAAAGTAGGCTGGAACATCATGAGCATGGGGTGCTCCCCGCCTCTCGCGCCACTCCGTGAGCAGGAACCGACTGTCCCAGCATTTTTATAGGCCTACCACGACATGTTCTTAGAACCCAGAAATGTTCCAAGAACAAAAAAAGTGCTTAGAACATGAACCCGACGCGTCAAACCACGAAATGCTCTAAGAACATTTCGTGGAAACCACCAAACGTTTTTGGAACATTGCTTGGTGGGCCCATAGGCACGCCAGGACGCTTCGCCACTGCTTGAACTCCCGTGCCCCGGGGGGGGGGGGCCCTCCCAGGTCTCCTGCGCGGCGACCCGAAGGCCGCCACCCGGCCCTCGCCCCCGCTCGGCTCGGCTCGGCGCGGCGCGGCTCCGCGCGCGCGGCGCCCGGAAGGCACGGCGGAGGAGGAGGAGGAGGAGGAGGAGGGGGAGGAGGAGGAGGAGGAGGGGGAGGAGGAGGAGGAGGAGGAGGAGGAGGAGGAGGAGGAGGGGGGAGGAGGAGGAGGAGGAGGAGGAGGAGGAGGAGGAGGAGGAGGAGGAGGAGGAGGAGGGAGGAGGAGGAGGAGGAGGGGGTGGAGGAGGGAGTGGAGGAGGAGGAGGAGGAGGAGAAGGAGAAAGAGGAGGAGGAGGAGGAGGAGGAAGAGGGAGGGAGGAGGATGAGGACCAGGATGGAGACAGGGAGGGGGGCACCGAAGCGCCAGCGCGGAAGAGGCAACAAAAAACACGCCCCGATTGCGGAGGGAAAGAACACGATGACGCGGAAGCGTCGTGTCGATCACGGCTCTCGCCCATCTTGGTCATCGTCGAGTCGTGGGCGTGACCTCGCGAATCGACGACGGCCGGCACGGACCATGACCCAGGTCGGCATCGACAGGATCCCGCGACATCTTGGCCGTGGCCATCGTATTTCTTCCCTCGAGCCTGCTTCATGGCGACCCCTGGGCCAGTGCCACCCTGGGCAGCACCCGACATTGCACAGACCTTGCAGACGCGCTGCAGCGGATTTTGCGCTGATTTCTGTCAATGCAAAACCCCGGAACGGCGAGCGAAAAACGACGTGAATTTCACGTGGATGTTTTACCGTCATTGCTGGCCCAAACAAATCCGCACGAAATTCCCTTCGAAATCCATAGCGAAACTCTCCAGGGCAATTCGGGCCCATCTCATTGTTTTCCGAACGAGATCCGCTCTGCGATGTTGGCGCCATGACACCCGAGGAGGGCATAGGCCAGAACGTGGGCCGCACAGAGACATACTAGTACTGTATAACTTGGAGGCGCGCGTCCGACCCGAACAAATTATATACCCATCTTGCAGTCTATCGTTTCCCGAGCGGTGTGGCCAGAAAGCGCCCGCCACGACGCACATACTATAAGATTTCTCGGTGCGCGCGTCGCCCCTGGGGGGGCGACGCGAATATAGTATTGGTATAGTGGGGTGACACCGAGAACAGGTCAGCACCGAATCGGGACACCCGGCACGGAATCGACACACCGAGTCGGGGCGGCCGCGCCAGGATGCACAGCAGCACCACCGGGCATCGGAGCGCATGGGATGGCCCCATCTAGAAGAAGAAAAAAGGCCCTACAATGAGACCCCTGCCAAGAAACACCCTGCTTGCCCCCAGGGGGCCCTGGGTTTCTTGGATTTCGATGGTTTCGCGATGGACAGCGTGACGTTCCCGCACCAAAAATCAATGGACATCCTGGGGTCTCAAGGTTGGGTTTCTTGTGGAAGGTTTCTTGTGGACTGGCCTCCACTGTACACATAAACTCTTGGCGTTCCGCGCGGATTTCTGGGATCTGCGCTGGATCCCCCTGCGTGGCGCGCGGAGCACGCTAGGGGCGGCGCCAGAGGCGCCGCCGGGGGGGCCCAGCGCGGATCCAGGAAATTTGCGCGGAGCGCCAAAAAGTTTATGTTTATGGCGTTGTCCTTCTTCGACCATCGGCATCGAATGGGATCGGGCGGGCCAGAATCGACATCGAACCCGATGGATCGGACCGGAACGGTGGCGGCCGGCCCGCGCACCTCGCCAGGGGGCGGCGGGCGCGCGCCTCTGTCCAGGCGCTCGCACCGCTTGCGCTCCAGCAGCCTGGCCGCGGCCGGCGCGAGAAAAAGCGAGGCGGGGGCGGCGCGCGCGGAGCGGGGAGGCTGCGCGCGGAGGGGGGCAGCTGCGGCCCCAGGGAACACTGTCGGCCCGCAGCAGAGGGGAGCACGCACGGTAGGGATGCAGGGGCCCTGGACCGCCGTGGCGAAGCTCTCCGAACGGGGCGCGGCCAGCGAAAGCGGCCAACGATGGGTCGGGGAGGCAAGGATGCAAGGGTGCCCTTGGGAAGGCTGCCCATCCATACCACGCGGGCTGACTGTATGCACTACCACCACCTCCACTTCCCCACTCCGCCTCCACCCTCCTCTTCACCTCCTCTTTCCCGGGACAGGGAGGGGGCGAAGGAGGTGGTGGAGGTGGGGTATACTTGGGGGCCCCGTTCCGCGGAGAGTTGGGTCCAGAAAGAGGTCGAGCAAACGGCGGGACGCATCCGATGCGGATTGAGGAGCGGGCCAAGGGCGAGGAGAAGGAAGGCCGCGGGACAGGGGGAAAGAGAAACGAAAACCAACGGCATAAGCATAGACGGAGGATACTGGCGCAAAGACGCTGCCAGAAGGGCCCAGCGCAGATCCAAGAGATCCGCGCGGAGCTCCGAAGGTCTGCGCTTATGCCGCTTGCTGCTCTTAGCGAGGAGGCGGCAAGACGAGCACCTGCGAACCGTACCTCTGCATTTTGTTGTTCTGTACACTCCACATGGTTTACACAACATCCCTTGCAACACCCCAGCCCGCACCGCTGCACCGCACCCTCCAGCGCCAGCCCGCACCCTCTGCGGTTCCAGACGACGTTGGAGGGATCACTTGCTGCCCCTCCTGCCTGCCGGCGCTGGTCAGCGCGTCCTGGGCCGCGCCCCCCGACCCCTCCGAGCGCTGGTTCGCCCCGCCGAACACTCTGCCCAGATCCTCGAGCGCTGCCTGTGTAGCCGCGTCGGGCCCTGGGCCAAACAAGGCCCTGTCCTCTGGGCGAGTCGTCGCCGCTCCTGCATGCCACTCGCGCGGCCGAGCGAGGCTCTCGGCGACACTAGAGGGCGGCGCAGGCGCCCACGGGGCCGGGGACCTGGCCGCCCTGTTCCCGAAGGAAGCCCCGGCATCCAGCCGCTGACGCCCGCTAGCGGCGAAGCCCTGGCCGCAGGCCTGGCCGCGGGCAGCTGCTCCAAGGTCGGGCCCTCGTTCAAGCCTCTGACCGAACCCGTAGTGGCCCGCTTCCAGCGACGCCCGCGAGGCGGGCGCCTGCGGCGAAACGGAGGGGGGCGCCTCTCCCCCGCTGGCTCTCCTTGGGCGAGCACGGGGTCCGCCCCTCCAGCTGGCCCCCTCTGCGTCTCTTCCTCTCTCGTCGAACCTTCTTTTCAACGCCCCCCTCCAACCTGATACGTAGCCTGGTAGTGTCGCAAGGCTCTCGGATTGGTCACCCCTCGGTCACGCCCCGCCCGCCCCGCCCGCCTGCCGCCCCGACGAAGTCGCCCAGCAGACCCCACGCCCCTCCCCCGCATCGGTCGCCAGCTCGGCCCAGACCTGCAGGTCCGACTGGCCGCCGAGTCGACCGACGTAGTCCTTCACGAGCTCGCTCTCGCCGCCGCCCACGCCGGCCCGCGGCGCGGCGTCTCGGAGTGCGCGGGGCGGAGCAGAAAGCAGAGCGGAGCGCGCCGTTGCCCGCCTGGGCGGCGGGGTCTGGAAGGTCGGCGCGGGCGGGCCGGAGCCCTCAAGCGTGGAGGTAAATATTCTTGACCGTTGGCGATGTGTGCCGCTTGTGCTGCAGAAACGCCGCTTACAGGCTGACCCCGTCGTTGCTGTCTTGCGATAGCGTGAGCCATCGCTGGTTGCCCTGTTCAAAGGGCTGGGTAGCTTCGAGAAACTTCACGATATCATACTCCCACCTTTTCCGCTGGCGTCCGTGTCTGCGTAGCGCTGGCCAGCGGCCGCGGATGTCCGGCCCCCGTGACACAGCAATCTGCGCCCACCTGCCGCACGGCAGTTCGACTGCCTATCCTGCCCACCGCCACTTGCGTCTGAAATATGTCGGACGACAGCACAACGCAGCCCTACCCCGAAGACGGCAACGACGAGACCGACCTGGAACCGTGGGAAGATTTCACACGCAGAGCTACACATATCAACAGACATTGCGAAACGGGCCAACAAGGACGAATGGGCGGAGAGCGCGGGGCAAAGGTGTCCGAGATGCCGGCGGTGACTCGACTATGAGCGGAGCTCCACGCGGCAGAGCAACACCCAGCAACTGGGCCTTGGCTCCCGCCAACGGCTGGGTTGGGGCCCCCAGCGGCCCGGGCGCTCCCGACTGGGGCCGCGGCCCACCTCCGGCGCCCAGCGGCACGGCGGCCCAACCGTCGCTCGACTGGAGCCGCCGGCAGCCAAGGGCTGGCCGCGAGGAAGCGATCGCTCCCCTGACGTGGCCCGAGCTTGGGGCAGTTGGCGCCGAGCGGCCAGGTCGCCCTCGCGGCCGCCCTCGGCCTTCTCATAGCTGCACCTGCCTGGCCCTTGCGAGGAGGAGTGCGGCTGCAGCTCCCGGCGCGAACTCCCCCCGGCAGCAGACAGCTCGCCTGATAAGCCAGAACGCGAAACTGATGACCGACCAGGATACCACGGCAATCAACATCCCCGCCAGCACGAAGACTGCGCACTTGCCCCGTGCACAATGGTGTTCTGGCATGTCCTCGTCGAAAGCGCTGGCCAACCCCATCCCGAAGTGGATCAACTGGTTCAGCGCGGCGCCGCGGGTGTACCCGAGCTTCTCCCCGAAACACTTCAGAAACTGAGACGCCAGCGCGCTGAAGCCATCCTGGTAGCCTTCATCGCCGATGCTTCCCGCCGCCGGCACGGGCGACCCTTTGCCCCTACGACGTCGCGGGGTGAGAGCCGCCCCAGCGGGCTTCCTAGCGAAGGATTCGCCAGGCATACATCCGCCAGCCTCATGGTGCTGCTCCTCCTTTCCTGCCGCAAGCCTCCCCCCCTCGCTGGCACCAGCGTCGGGGTAAGTGGTGAGCGAGGGGGTTCGTCACATGGTAGTCGGCGCGTGAAGAAGGGGGCGATGGCGAAACCCCGGCGGCGCCCTCACTCCAAGGACCGTCAGAACCAACGAGGGCGGGAGGCCCCTCTCGGGGCTCATCCGACTGCCCACTTCTGGAAGCCAATGCCGACCTTGGGGGGCCGCCTCGCAGCCCGCATCCTCACCATCGCAGCTCTCGTCAGACTCCCCGCCTCAGGCACGGTTCGCCTCCGCTGCTGAACTCCAGGCCCTGTCGCCGTTGGTGTTGCTTTCTGACTGAACCTCCCGAGCGCGTGCGAACTTGATACCCGCCGCGAAGCCGCCGCAGAAGCCCACGCCCAGGGATGCGTCGAGCCACCCCGCTGCCACCAGTACAAACGTCGAAATCATGCACTCCAGCGAGGCGACGCGTCTCATCATCATGGTCAGGCGCAATCCAGCGCCTCATCGCGGGCTGCCCCTCAGCCGCCCGACCTCACGCCGTCTCGGCCAGGGCCGACCCGCATCCGCCCCAGCAGCCCCGCGCCCCAGCCCCGGATCTCCGACGCAGCAGGCGCGCCCGGATCGGGCCTGTCGCGCGGACGCGCCCGTGCCATGGCCGCGCCCGTGCACCCTGAGAGGTGGAGCCCCCCTTCGGGGCGAAAAGACGTGAGCACATGCAGTAACGGGCCACGTTGCCTCAAGACGGCCCCCGATGGCTTCGAGATGGCCCACGAGGCCGTCGAGGCGTCCCAAGAGAACCCCAAGAGCCTTCCAAAGAGAGCCTCGAGAGGCAAAACGTATTACTGTTCCTCAGGTGTTTCCATGTTTCCAGAGTCCTCGCGTCCCAAGAAGACCCTTGAGGCCACTAGGACTTCCCCAAGACGGCTCAAGAGGCCTCCAAGAGGGCCCGAAGACGGCCCCAGAGGGCTCCAAGACGGCCCAAGAGACGCCCCCGAATGCTCAAGAGGCTCCCAAGAGAGCTCCAAGACGGGCTGCCAGACGGCCCAAGAGGCACCCACGACTGCTCAAGAGGGCCCCAAGACGGCCCCAAGAAGGGCCCAAGAGTGGGGACACGAACATCGAATTCTAGCCTTCTGCCCCACGAGGCCCCCAAGAGGCCCCGTTGCCTGCTCGAGCCATTGCCACCTAGGATGCTACGCTGGCACCGTGGCTGAATTGCCGGAGGCAGCGGGACAAGCATCCAGGTTCGCATAGG